TACTATGTAATCCAATATTGTTTATAATAAAGTGAATAGAGGAAAGACCTCTCTTAAAAAAAAAAAAAAAAAAAAAATTGACAATGGGTAAGTTTTTTTTTTTTTCTTTACTAGAGGACTTGGAAGACTTGTAATAACTTTATTTTTCTTAATCCATATATGCACTATATTGTTATCTTTTAATTGTGATCTAAGTATATTTTCACAGTTTGGATCTAGCTGGTTTGACAAGGTTGTAATATTCTAGAGACTTGTCAGGAAATTGCTTTTCCTTTTTTCTTTACTCTTCTTATCTCTGGGGTATTTTCTTTTCTTTCACACAATACCCAGTCTTTTTTCTTTTTATCTTTCTTAATTACACTTTTTTTTAGAGCTATACTACTTTGTTTTGCTGATTTTTCATCTTTTTAGAATTCATGTCCAATATACCGATTACTTTGGTTTGTACATATTGCCTTAACTAGTTTGTTATACCAATTTGCAACTTTTCCCTTGCTTGTTTTACTCCAAAGAATTTTAATCTGTTGCTAGCTTCATAGAAATTTGCCTTTTGTATCTAATAGCTTCTCTATATAAAATAGATTTAATTTTTTGAGGTCTTTAACTAAGTGTACTTTTTCTATTTTATTTAGTATTTCTCTTATTGTAACATCTTCACTAGGGATGGACTACAAATATTTATTTATACTAAAGTTGATCTCTAACTCTTTAGCTTTGACTAGCACCGTATATACTAAATTGTTTTTTCAAATCTTCTGCAGATTATTATATTCATCACTTTTTTATGATATTTTGCAAAGCCCAGCATCAAAGAAACCCTGTTTGATTCGTATTTAAGCTAATGAACCTTCGTTATTTAAACTATTTAGCCTATTTTGCAGTAAAATTATTTGTTTTATATATAGCTCTTGAACTAATAAATTGTAGCCATCAATGTTTTTGTGAGTTATAACAAAATTTCTTGTTGTTCTTGCAAGTCCTAGCTTGTTCTTAACCAGTTTTATGTATGGCTGCTAAATTTTTTGTAATGAGGCTTCATATAGTTTAGACACTTGCAAGATATAATTTAGCTTTGGTATTAGCACCATATTATTAATTTATACTAACTAGCTAACTGTCATTTTCTTTCACTATAAAGTAAGTGTTGTTTGTTGGATAATTTCCTTCGCTTTATTTTTAATTAAGGACTCTTTCATTCTACTGCTGAGCCAAATTCCTAATATTTTAACTACTTCATTGGTCTTGGTCACTTTAACTTTGCATTGATTAATCTGAATTGAATCTTCTTTATTTTTTCTCTTGTTCATAATTATTAGTTTACACTTGTTTTCATTGATCTGAATACCATTGATTGTAAAGAATTCTTCAGCTATTTTAATAATCTTCTCCATCTCTGGCTTGCTTTTTGCAATCCATATCATGTCATCAGTATATGCTATTGCTGCTTGATGAACTCCTTGAACTTCGACTTCATTTGTGCTGAGACAATATGGAACTTGAACTTTAGCTTTGTAACCCAGCTTTGTGTTTTTTTGTATTTTAACTAGTAGTGGATCATAAAAAATTCACCAAATTATCAGTAATATTACCTCTCCCTAATCGATTCCATCATTCACTACAAAGTAGGCTAATATACCAATATTGATAATTATACTTATATGTCGCTTGTAGAATAAATTTAAGATGAAATTAATCTTTTTTTCTGGTATTTTAATTCTTATTAATGCAAGTTTAAGAGTTTCAAGAAATACTGAGTTGTATGCTTTTTGTATATCTTAAAAAAGGATCCACATTTCTTTGTTTTTTTCCTTTGTATCCTCCATTAATGTATTCATTATATAGAATGGGTTTTCAGTTGAGTTTTCTAGAAGAGCAGCATAATTTGGGCCTTTAAGAATCTTTCTGTCACTGATTATTTTTGTAAGACATTTTGTATAGATTTTGGTAATGCACTTTCTAAATGTTTCTAATAGTGCTATAGGCCTAACTTTGGCTAGATTAAGTTTCTAGTCTAATCTTTTAGAGATTAGATATAATTGAGCTATTTTTCACTTTTGTAGTATTTCTCCTTTCTGGAGAAATTTGCAAAGTGTCTAAAAATGCTATGTGTTCTTGCGTTTGCTTTTTTGATAAGGGTGTAGCTAATATCTGATACACTGGGAGCTGAGTTGTTTTTAACTTCTTTTAACATTTGGTCCTAATCTTCTTCTTTGATTTCTTCTTCTAATGGTTTATACTAGTTCTTCTGAATTTGATCTTGTAGTTTGTAAATTTCACTCCAGCTGCTTTTAAAAAGCTTCATATGCGTTTTCCGTTTTTTAAACTAATCTTAAAAGTGCTTATTAGTTTTTTCCAAAACTTCATCAGGGTTCATTATGAGTCTTGAAGTATTATTTTCTTCTATAAGCAAGCGATCAATTTGAATTTTCTTGTATGGTCTTTCTAATAAGCTTGAAATCATTTTTCCTTGTTCATATGTTATTCTTTCACATCAAATATTAGTATATTTAAGTATTTTGTCTTTCTTGATTTTTTTCTTCTCAACGAGCTAGCAGAACTTTAATATTTTCTACTAGTCTTTAATATTATTAATTGTTTCTGTATCTGTTACGTCTTTAATCAAAAGAATACTTGTCTCTTGTCTTTCGTTTACATCTTTAATTGTGTCATTAGCTTCTTCTTGTTTAGGAGTTGTCAAACTACTTATATCTTTAAAATTTTATAAAATTTTACTGAGCTTAATAGTGTCTTGTAGCAAGAAGAATTGTTTTTTGTCAAACTTCTTTTTTCTACTTGTAATTGTATTAGAAATCTTTTTAAAAGGTATATTTTTATTTGTTACTTGAATTATTCCTTCAGCTATTGCATCCCAGCAATTATCTATTTAATTCGAAGGCTTTGAAGCAGTACTGTTTTTCCTGTTTAACAGCTTTTGGATACTTTCTTTGCTTTTCAGGTAATTCCATAAATCTTGTTTATAATTTTCCTAATCATTTTCAGAAGCTTTGTTGTATATAAACACTTTTTGTAGAAATTTTTTCCTCTTAATTTGTGCTGCTTGAGTAAATTGTACTAGATTAACTAGTATAAGTTCAGTAAAGGTCAAACTATGATTACTGTTTGTTATATAAGTTGCTTCCTGTATCTCAGCCTTTTGTGTAGTGATAGACAGGTCTTCTGAAACCCATATTTAATCAATTCTTATTTTTTGGTTACCATTTGACCATGTATAAGCTTTGGCATATGGGTTTAGAATTTGAAATGTGTTGTAATAATCTTGGTTTTTAAGCTATTTGTATAGCGGCAATTTCTTTTTGTTTGTTGCTGTTGAGCTCATACTCAATCGATCTAATTCTACATCTATCATATAGTTAAAGTCTTCTATTATTATAAACTAAGAGACTATTTTTCTTTTCATAAATCTATATATAATCTGCTATTGTATCTTTTTTTCTTGCTCCTTATTATTAGAAGGAATGTATAATATTATAATTGTTATCTCTAGTTGTTTAAAGAAGAGTGTTGTCTCTATCATATATTCATCTATACACATGACTCTTGCTACTTGTTCTGCTCAGTCTTTCTTTATTAAAAACCCTACACCAAAACCTTTTTTTTTGGTTTTATTTGCATCTGACTAAAAGCTTATAAACTAGTTATCTGTGACTTCTTTACACAGGTGTTGGCTCTCTTTGTTTGTTATATTTGACTCTGCTATTCCTATTATACCGATATCTTCTTCTTTAGCCCACTCTAATAACCCTGTTAACTTAATATATCCTTCACTTTTGATCCGGTTGATATTATGACATACAATTTTAAGATTAAATCTATTGTTTGTTTTTTGATTTTTTTTTATACAAGCTAATGAGCTTGCTTTTGTTCTTGTTGACACCCATGACAACTTTTAGAAGAAATTTGGGAGATTTTTTCCCAAATTAGAGAAGCTTGTCAGTCTACTTTCTAGCATATTTGGTCTTTCTAGTATTTCTTGAAGCAACAAGGTTTGGTCAATATTTTCTGTCTCTTTTTTGATTCTTTTAGTATTTATTTTCCCTTTCTTTCCTCTAGTTCTATTCTGTTAGAATTAGTTGCACATTCATTACTGATATCTCTCAAGGGTCTTTTAGTATTAGTTTGAGGTTTGTAGTTGCCATTTCTCTTATTGACTTCAATATGCTTGCTAGAATCAATTTTGAAACTTCTATATTAAGTATTTTGTTTAGTATATGTAACTTTCGCTAATTTTCTTCTACTCTGTGTTTCTACTTTATCTAAAAATCTTTTCTCTTTATGTAAGCTCTTGCCTTCTCTTTGATATAGGAATGAGCTATTGGGAGAATTACTTGTTTTTGAATTTTCTGTACTTGGATATCATGAAAGCTTGGTATTAAAGTAGTAAAGAATATAGTTTTGGGTAGTTGTAAGATCTTCTTTTGATTTGAAGTATAGATAAGCTTTTTTTTTTTGATTTCCATTACTATTACTTAAAATATAAACTGCTTGAACTTTATACTTCTTAAGTTAACATAGAAGAAGACTGTTATATGCTGTTGTTGAGATGTTGGAAATTATGCTTCTGAATTCATTTCTTTTTTCTAATTCTGCAATATCGAATTTGCCAGGTGTAATCCTGTAAGTTTTGCCTTGTTCTAAATAAAGTAACCAACTTTTCTTTATTGATTTTCTTCTTTGCTTAGAGTTTGGTAAAACTTTTATATATACAGTCTTGGTTCTGAAGTTTTGTTGTTATGCCTTAATAGTTACTGTGCCAAAAAAACTAAAATATGACTTTATTGAAATTGTATTTGTCTTTTTGGATAGGTTCTATAAGGTAAAAAAATATACAGAAACATGTGCTTGTTTTGGAGGATATATTTTGCTTCTCGGAGCCCAGACTGAATTGTATATGTCTTCATGTTTTTTGTGTTTTTTGTTGTTTTTAACTGCTGTGGCTTTTGTACTATCCTGAGATTTCCTGTCTATTGCTTTAACCAAACTATAGTCCAAAGTACTACACTCTTCTTGTATTAATATATTTTTAATTGCTTTTACATTTTCTGTAGTAGTTACTTTATGTTCTGCAAGGTTTTGTTTACACGAATTATTCTGTGACTTTATTTTAATATTGCTAGTGGTGTTATTGATTATAGCAATTAGTACTATTGGTACTGTTTCTATAAGGATTTACTCAGTTTAAATTCTGTCTAGACTACCCTTATTTAGTGCTAAGTTTTGTCTTTTGACATCCATTATTAGGTTTTCTTTATCAATTTCTATACTATTATTGATCCCTTCTATAAGTTGCAAAGTTGTTATATTTGTAGAAATAGTTCCAGTTTTGCCTTGGCTATTGCCTTCTTGAAAGTGCTTACTAACTATGTTATTGGGATGCAGCTTTGTATTACCAGAGTAATTTAATAAATTTTCTTCCTCTTCTGTTATCATTTGATCTCTTGCTTTCTTGTATTGAGCATAGTCATAGTGTTGTAAAACGTTGCATATCATGGCAATAAGATATGTTTCATTAGTTCCTAAATATTTGGCTACATTCTTATCTTCTTCCCAGATAAATGCAATTTGTTTTTCTTGTACTGCAGATCTATCTTCTTGTGACTTATTAAAAAAATCTTTGAAGTCGATGAGTTCTAGCATTTGGTATATAATATTGGTTTGGTATATTGT